GTTAAAGAATGCAGAAGTGCTTAACATTGACGTCTGGGAGCGATCACTTGGTGTGGCGGTCAGGATTTCCGTTTCGGGGGAGGGGGCGGGAGAGAGGGGCAACAAAAACTTTCTTTGGCAAAGATGCGTGGCGCCCGCACTCTGAAAAATTTTCAATGATGAATTGTCAAAAACTTTGTAGCCCATGTCAAATTACACAAGAAGGGGGCGTGACGGCACCCAAGCCCTTGATAGTTGAATATCTGCCGAACAGCCGCCTAGATTCGGCAGATAATGCCTAGAATACGATAAAATCGACCCAAAATTATGAATAGATATTTTTTGTGAATCATGATTACAGCAGAAAGTTCTAGAACTTTGAGGCGGCTGTCATGATTTTGAGGATGTCCTGAGTTTTCCTTATAAGTCACAAAAAACGAAAAATCTAGTGCGCTGCATCTGCGGATGTGATAAAGTATGAATGCATCAGAAAAAACTGTTTTAAATAACATTTTCTGGACACCTGTTGCGAAATAAAAGATATCGCGGAGGACTTTACATTATGAAAAATAAGAGTTGCAGAATAAAATTTATATTGAAACTGAGAGTATAGTGTTTATTGCAGCGGCCTATTGCCATCGCCAGAGTGCTGCTGAAGTCTTGATCTCAAAGGGAGCCGATCGAACAATTCGCAATAACGACGGACAAACTGCTGCCGAAGTTTGTGACGATGAAACCCTCAAAGCTATTTTGATGCCACCAGAATGACCTCATATATGTTTTCTTTTATGCTGATGTGCTAGCCATAAGATGGGTATCTCAAAAAGCCTATTTCTTTTTATTTCAATGAAGAATGAACAAGTGCCGAGCTGGTCTGTACAAACGAGCTATAACGCGGATTGTTTCCAATTTTTTGTTATGAAGCGTACTAGATCTGAGTCAATAAATGCTGTCATTTGAGCGAACTCAGAAGTGTTAGGTTGTCTGGAAAATCATGCTGTATCACGTCGGCTTTTTTGTGCTAAATTTGGTATTTCTCGAAAATTAGCGCTTGGAAGGCTGAAAGTTTATGGTTAACTCGTAAAGTTTGCTCTATAGAATCTAACTGGGAG